AAATTTATGGTCTGTGAAATATATTTTCCAAAGATGCTCCTATATTGGAGGAAAAAAAAACAAAACAAAACAAAACAGAACCCTTGATCCAAATCCCATCTCTTTGTAAAAGTCTTGTTAAAAATTTTGATTCGTCGATTTATCTTAGCACACTTTGTTTCAAAGGAGAGGGAAAAAAAAAAAAAAAAAAAAAAAGAGAAAAAAGAAAAGCCCAGGGACTGCAAACCACCCAGCACCCAGTTCTACATCCGAATTCCGTTTTAAATGAGCTGCGACGCTACTAGGCACAGGCAGATCCTTCAGAGATGAATGTAAGCAGAGGGAAGAGATCTCTACCCTGCTTCACAGTCGAATACCATTTCGTGCGATCTACACCAAAAATAAAACAGACGCTGGAGTCTCCATCTCCTAGCAACACCTCCCCACCCAGCCTTCTACTCAAGACCCTCCAGCTCCTGCCGATGCACACAGCTCCCCTCCCCGCTGTGTGCAAATGAGATGTATAGATACACACACATATAAGCATGCACACATACGTGTGTTTATTTAAAAGCCAGAGGGAAAATTAAGCAGATACCCCCAAGCCTGAGCCCCGGCACTGCTTTCCAGGAGCACACCAGGCTCTGCAGAACAACTGCTCTCAGCTCTGACTGACACCCGTACAGGTGGAAAATGCTCAACCCACCTGGTGACCTGCTTGCTGCCGAGCAAAGAGCTTTCTGTAAGTCTCCAGTAAACCTTAAGCCACAAAAAATATATCCTGTGGACTAGAAACCCAATTAATACTAATTCAATATTTCTACTAAACAGCTTCTGGGTGTACAACACCTGCAGAAACACTCATGATGCATCAGTTTGCCCTGAGATTTAGTTACCAGCTTTTTTTAGGAACAAGCAAATAGACACATCTACATCTATACAGGCGAAATAATACATCTACATACAGCAGCTCCTCTTAAACATATTAGCTTAACCATTAAAAAAACATACCATTTGAGATCTCACCTATTTGTTGTGGTGCTTCATTCAGGCAGGGTCAGGGCTTGCCAAGACTGGAAGCGGAGATCAAACAAACCCCGGGTGCTGCTGTGTGCAGAGACAGGAGGGAGCTGCCGAGAGCTTCCAAGGTAAAGACTTGCACGGACTGACACTGCTGCAATTTTCTCAGGCTTTCCAGGAGATAATAAACTTTAGATCAGATATTAACAATATTTGTAAATACCGTTTCTCTTACGCCTTCATATGCCTCTCTTGTTCTGATTGAACACACACAGCTTCATTACACTACACGTGGTTTTGTATTACAGCAGCCTTCCCTCTCATACCCTGGGCTTGCTATTGTAGTCATTTATATTATTGGATTTGTTGAATTAACTTGTCATTTTATTATTTATGAAGGTACAGTTGCATAGTCTGGTCATTATTTTATCAGGTATCCTTTGTTTACACACCTTCCCAAATAGCTCTTTGCTACTTCAGAGCATGGATTGCGTTTGTGACTGCCTTCTGCTACTGCTTGTGGCTGAATAAGAAAAGGAGAGGTCAAAATTAACACTATTAAAACATGCCAGAACTACTCTTCAAATACACTAGACCAATTTCAGTGTTTAGCCATGCTGCTTTCTCAGGATGAGCATGCATGTTTTCGTGTGGTTGGTTTTTTTTAAATGTGAACTATTTACATGCTCCAGACAAAGTTTACATCCTATTTAGGAGACAATGAAGAACATCCTGCTTTCCTTAGGAAACTTTTTGGACTTTCAGCTAGAAATCATCCATGGGGAGACCACTTGAAAGAGAAACTGATCTGAGCCTCTACACAAACAACAAACCCCTTCTCCTGCACAGCTCTGAGCTGAGGAAGTCCCAGGAGAACATTCACAGGGGTCCCACCACCCAGGCAAGAGGCACATGAGCCCATGGGACTGTAAAGCAGGGAAACCTTCACCTTACAGCAAACACACCTGAATCAGCTTTCTTTTTTTTGAGCTGCAGCTGTCTTTTTAATGTGTAAAAATGGAAATCTTCATCACAGAAGAGTTGGGATCACTAAACAGGCGTTTTCTTCAGGATAGGGTTTTCCTCCCTGCAAACTGTATTTCTAATGAGATAGCGTAGCAAGAAGTAGCCCACTTAGAGCAACTGTGTTATTATTTAATATCCAACATCCCCATACCAGGCTGCAGGCTGTCCCAGGACTGAAATGCTAAGGAATGGATAATGTTATCATTAGGATGAGTTGATAGCTCGTGAGAAACAGCAGCTGACAGCACCACTAAGACATGGAGGTGGTTTTGGCTGGCTGCACCAACCATTCATGTGTTGATGTTTCCTTCCCCATGCATCTGTTTTGCTCCTTTATATTAGCACAGCTACTGACCCCCAGGAAGGCTCCTATGGCAGCTTTGCCAAGTGAGAACTGCTCATCCACCATCACCCCGCAACGGACTGCCCAGCAGCTGCTGGCAGCACCCCCATCACCCCAAATTCAACCCTTCCCATCCACACACCTGAACTTACACATACCCCAGGAAGGCTCCTATGGCAGCTTTGCCAAGTGAGAACTGCTCATCCACTGTCACCCCCCAAGGCACTGCCCAGCAGCTGCTGGCAGCAGGCAGCACCCCCATCACCCCAAATTTAGCCCTTCCCATCCACACACCTGAACTTACTGACACACGCTGGGTCTCCACTTCTCCCAGCCTGCAGTCCAGGGTGAAGAACATCACAAAGATACCTGTGAGTGCCACCTCCCTTCCTCAGCATTCCTCCCAGAGCCCAAGAGGAATCTCAAGAGGATCCTCCCAACCAGAGAGGTCCTGACACCTACTGTCCACCTCACAACCACCCTTCTCTGCTCCATAAACACTTCCTTTCTTCCCCCTTCAACCTAAAAGCCACCCTCCCCACCTGCCCATTATTTTATTCCCATCTGTTCTTTCTACCCACCCACCTCGTTTCACAGCCCAAGGTACAGCTGGGCCTCACAAGGTGCACCTGGGGCCACGCTTCCCACCCCACAGCACATCCATCTCGTGGAGGTGTGTTCTACAGACCTAATGCAACTTCCCTGGCTGGTGCCACCCCAAGCGAAGCGTCACCAAAAGGAGGGATCAACCCAAGGAGGGTACACACCAAGGACGGTGTCACCCCCAAGTGGGTGTCACTCTGACGAGGGTGTCACTCTCAGGAATACACTCTCTAAGGAAGGTACCACCTCCAAGCAGGTGCACCCCAAAGAGGCTGCACTAAGAGGAGAGTTTAACCCCAGCAAGGTGCACTGCGAGCAGGGTGCATCCCAAGGAGAGCATCACTCTTAGGCAGGTGTACCTCCAGGCAAGAGTCCCTTTAAGGAGAGTGCCACCCTCTGATAGGTGCCATCGCAAGCCAGGTACACCATAAGAAGGGTGCACCAAAAGGAGACTGTCCCCATCAGGTGGATCCACCTCAAAGAGGGTCTACCCTAGGGGTGGTGTTACTCCAAAGAAGGTGAGGGAGGTGATTCTGCCCCTCTACTCTGCACTCGTGAGACCCCACCTGGAATACTGTGTACAGCTTTGGAGTCCTCAACACAGAAAGGACATGGACCAGCTGGAACAGGTGCAGCGGAGGGCCACGAAGATGATCAGAGGGATGGAGCACCTCTCCTAGGACGACAGGCTGAGGGAGCTGGGATTGTTCAGCCTGGAGAAGAGAAGGCTCTGGAGCGACCTCGTAGCAGCCATTCAATATCTGAAGGGTGCCTATAGAAGAGCTGGGGAGGGACTCTTTGCCAGGAAGGGTAATGATAGGACAAGGGGAAATGGTTTTAAATTGGAAGAAAAAAGATTCAGATTAGATCTCAGGAAGAAATTTTTTACTATGAGGGTGGTGAGACACTGGAACAGGTTGCCCAGAGAAGCTGTGAATGCCCCATCCCTGGAGGGGTTCAAGGCCAGGCTGGATGGGGCTTGGAGCAACCTGGTCTGGTGGGAGGTGTCCCTGCCCAGGGCAGGGGGTTGAAACTGGATGATCTTTGAGGTCCCTTCCAACCCAAACCATTCTGTGATTCTATGACTCTAAGGTGTCATTGCAGGGAAGGTGCCACTCCCGGGCAGGGAGGGTGCACCCAGAGGACACTATCACCCAAGGAGGTTGTCCCCCCCAGCCAGGTGCACCCCAAACCGGAGACGCTCACCCCACCGCAGGGTGCACGCCCCGCGGAGGGTGCCACCCCCAGCCCACGCCGCCCTAAAGGCCGATCACCCCCAGCCAGGTGCACCCTATAGAGGTGTGTGTGTGCGTCCATTCCGCCTTCCCCACCCGGCATCCCGGGGGGTGAGGGCGCGCAAATCCCCGCACCCAGCCCGGCCTCCGCTGCCCCGACGGGGCACCGGGCAGGTGCCGCACACCCGCCTCCGCCGAGCCGTCCCCGGGGCAGGTCCCCTCTTCTCTCACCCCGAGTATCGGCGGAGGAAAGGCAGCGAGGGGCGCTCCCCCGGCTGCCCCACGCCGAGCTCCGGTGGGAGAACCCCCCCGCCACCACCACCACCACCACCCTCCTCACCCTCCTCCTCCTCCTCGTTAACGCGGGCCTCCTCGCCGGGCATCG